TGCAAGTAGGTGCATGGTATGCATGAAGATTATAATGATCACAAAGGACCATTAGAGGAATTAGAGCTTGAACTCCGGGGTCATGTTGATTAAGAAGTAAGTTTTGCATGAAGCGTGGGTCTAAGTAGGCAATATTACCCTCTATGACAGGACAAGGTCTATACAAGACTACAAATGACACACAAAGCACCACAAAAAGTAAGCACTCCTCCTTCGCAACAAATCAACAATCAATAAACTTCCTCCGCATACAATGTTCTCATACTCCCATGTTTTGATAATAACGCAAAGAAAAGTAAATTGTCTCTACGCGGGCTCACGATTTATCTAAGAATTCAAAAATAAGCCCCCACGCGGGCCGACGATTTAACTAAGGGATTGAGTAAGAAAGTCTCACAAAGGTCCTTTAGCACTTCAACTCCAAATTTAAAGCTTAGCTTAGCAAATTTTATTTTATTTTATTTTTTTTTTTTTTTTTTTTTTTTTTTTTTTTTTTTACTTTTAGCACTCTTCCTTGCTTACTTAGCTTCTTTGCTTGATGGCTCATTTGCTTGCCTCCTAGCTCAATGCTCCTTGTCAAAGATAAACAAACACAATAAGTAATCTAAAGAAAAATAAAAATAAAGTAAAACACGATCAAAAGAGTACTAATTCCTAATGAATTTCACAAATACAAACGGCGCCAAAATTTGACGATGTAAAGCCGTTCCTTGCACGCCAAATTGATGTAGTGAATGTGTGGTTCAAGAAAAGCCTTTTGGGTCAAGTTTAAATTTATAAAAACCACTACCAACACTATTACTAAAGTAACAAAAGTGAGTAGGGATCATCCCAAAGGATTAGAGTCGTACTTGATTGTGGAATCGCAATTAGGGTTAGTATATCGAGTGATCAAACAAATAGTTGGTTGGTTAATTAAACTAGAGTGTAACTAAATTAAACTAAGTAATTGAATGTAACAAAGAGTAAGTAAGAGAGAGAGAAATCTTGGGGTTTAGAGATCACCACCAAGTAATGCTTTTCTACACTTCCAACTAGTGACTAATGAGGGTAATGTGTGTTGCAATAATGGTGTGTGTGTGTGTGTGTTTGGTTAATTCAATTAGTAAGGGTGACCAATTAAGTATACATTGTCTAATCAACATGTGAAGAGCACAATATATCTAGCAATTAAGTATATATTGTCTAAATAGCATGTGAAAAGCACAACATATCTAGCAAGTCATTAATCCTTTCATTAAGCTCATAGCCAAATACACTGCAAGGTTAGAGACATATGCTACTTGCATTCAAAAGTATGGAACATCAAACAACTAGCATAGATTGTCTACTCATCTAACAACTATGCTATCACTACACCAAATACACTACAAGGTTAGAGACATATGCTACTTGCATTCAAAAGTATGGAACATCAAACAACTAGCATGGATTGTCTACTCATCTAACAACTATGCTATCACTACACTATAATTAAGCTAATGACATGAAATTCAACTAATTAAGCTAAGGGAGAGACATAATCCATCAAGAAATGAGCATGGACCATCTAGAAAATCACAAGAGCATTCTTTTAAGTACAATGTTTTGACAATCTTTAAATCTATAGTATGAATACACATAGACATGCATCAATAACTTAAGAAATAGAGGCAAACACATGAACATCTATTCTTAGCATACATAGATATATGGATAGAATGCAATGATCAATTAGAAGCATTAAACCACATAAATCATTGAATAAACAAGATCTATATATATCAAAATGTCAAAACATTAATTACAACACTAATCCCTCAATAATACACAAGATTAAGATATAGAAAGCATGCTTGGGGCTAACTCTAGCCCTAAGAGGATGTTTAGCCACTCATGGTGATGTTGCTCCAACCCTCAAGGGCTAACTTTATAGAAGAGATTTGCTCCTTGGTTGATGAAGAGTCTCCAATGGTGTCTCTAGCCTCCTCCTCCTCTAAGCTTGCTCCCCAAGAGATTAAACCGTAGAATAGTCTATATGCTCAAAAAGTGCATCATATTCCTTTTATAGGTAGGTCAAGTGGCAAACAAAATGAGCTGGGGTCATGCAAAGAATATTCTCTAATGATTGGATACAGGACGGATTGCACAAGCTGGAAATTTAACTTTTTCGCACTAAAGGAATTTCGATCGATCGAACCTTGGACTTGGATCGATCGAACTGGCTGAGATCTATCGAACTTAGGCTAAAACGATCCAACTGGCTGAGCTTTTTGGGCAAAGACAAATCTGAGATATTTTGGGAGATATTTTTGGGAAAAGGACAAAAGTGGTTAGTGGGTGGTACAGCTGTGAATAGGATCAATCATTTGAATAAGGACAAAAGTGTTCGATCGATCGAAGGGTGGTGTTGGATCGATCGAACTTTTGGACTTTATGCTTTTGGGCCAAGGCTTGGATCTATCTTGAAGTGCTGAGATCGATCATTATTTGATCGATCGAACCTTGAACTTGGATCGATCGAACTTTGTTGCTTCCCACCTTTGGCTTCATTTGCTTCCTTCTTTCTCCACTTTGCCCCTTTCTTTGTTTAATCCCAGAATTACTTCAATTAAGCTCTTATTTGGCTGAGTTAGCTTATTTTCGGGATAAGTGCCTGAAAATGGAAATAATACGAAATCAATCTAAAATGGTAAAGTATGATAGATAAATACGCACTTTTTAGCGCTCATCAGAGGGTAACTTCCAACTACCATTTGGGGCCCAAGTCGCTAAATTACTTACGCGTACCTCATGTGTCCCTATTAACTAGCTAGCACCACCAGCAAAGGGGTAGCTCCCCAACTACCGGGTTTGAGAAAATCTTTTCTTCACAAACTTCACAAATTCAATGTCCACATTCCCACATACATCACCACACACTCATACCATGAAGTGCATGTATGTTCATTGAATGTTATGGCATGTCTCTATTCATAAAATGTATAATTCTTCAATTCAAAATAGTTTCCACATGTCATTTAACACAATAATAAAAATAAAGTCACATAGGCTTGAATTCAATCATTTGGCATACTAAATACAATACCTCACAATTTTCAAGACCTTATACTAAAATTAATTACCATAAGTAATTCAATTCATATGACAATTTACATAGCAAATTTCAAGTCATCACCTAATTAAAGGAATTCCGCGCAACAGTTATTGAAAAATTCGTAAAAAAATTCATTTCAGATTGAAACGGCGAAAATAAAAAGGATTTAGAAACTAGACTCATAATGAAACATCGCTGAACCACTCACGAAAGTCAAATGTTCCCCATTTAAATCAGTTTCTAAAAGTAAAACAGTGATCTTTAGTTCGAAGAAACTCTGGCAGGGATACTTCAAAATTTGTAGAAAATTTGTTTGACATCCAAATTGGGCAAACTAAATTTATTTTGAAGGTAGACATATGGGAGTATAAAACTAGTAAGTTTTTCCATGATCCGGTATCAATATGATAGTGAAATAAATTATCCAAAAATCTGTTTTCCAGCAATAATAAAAAGATGAACAACATGAAATGTCGGATTTTTAAAACATTAATTACATGGCTCAAAATCATCAAATTTTTATTAGGTGTAGTAAAGTCACATTAGAAGTTACATTAAAAATTTCGTTGTATTTTGAGCAACACAACCTCCTAAAATAAAATTCGTAAACTTTCTCAAAAATCAGTTTTCAAACTAGGGTAACAGGACAACAGCTATTCCTGAATTTTTATAAAAATAACTACCTATACAAAAATTGTAAAATTTATTTGAGAGGTACTGAACATGTATAAGAACATGTGCTAAATTTTTTGTAGCAATTGGAGCAATGCAACTCCTTATAAAAATTCATTTAAACAGTCTCTTTACCTTATTTACACATGCTACATCTCCCTTAAAATCAGCAAAAACAGTCCTTTAACAATAAACAAAACAATCCCTTAAATCAACCAAACAATCCCTTAAAATTAGCCAAATAGCCCCTTTAAAATTTCATTCAAGCAACCCCATTTACTACATTCACACTTTCTATGGTTCAATTTTAACTTCAAGAATACTTAATCCATCATTCATAATCTTTTTCTGAAGTTTTAGCTAAGGCATCGTCATATATAAGCATAAATACGTGCAATTGAAACAAAATTGTTTTATATAAGCATGCTTAATTCAAGGAAATCATACTAATTACTTATATAGCAAGAGAAAATGCTAGTTAAACACCCCTACCTCATTTAGAAAAAAAGCCCTAATTTCAGCCCAAGGATGAGTGTGCACCAAACTAAAAATAAACACCACCGGAAGATAGATCTTAAGAAGCTCTCCAACTTTTCCAGCTATTACTTCCCCAAAATCTAAGGGCAACTAGATCAAATCCTTGGTTTAAGCTTCCAAAATGAGATGAAAAAGAAAAAGAGAAGAAATAGAAGAAACGAGAGAGACTCTTACAGCTGGAAATGGGAGGAAAATGTCCTCCAAAATATCTAATCTCCTCTTTTATACTATTAGTGCAATGGTGGGGCCTAAGTGCTAGAAATTTGTCCAAATTCCTTCTTTACCCTTAACATTACTAACACACATACGCATTAATGCCACTACAAGAAATGTGGGCTTTTACGACATAGTATTTACGGGGCTTCTTTATTTTGCCTCGTGATTACCATCATTTACAGAGTTTTTAAAAGAATCCTTATAATTGTTACGTTATAGGACATGCTTTTACAAGGATTTAGTAGAATCGTCGTAGAAAAATATTTTTACGGTGTATTACAGAGATCGTGAATATTTAGATATATCGACGGCATATTTGTACACTTTTAATGGTATAAATGTTTTTCGTTGAAAACTTCACATTTAAGGCATTTTTTTTTCCCGTAAATAAGTAATAACACTTGCCCACCAAATTAAATAGGCACAATTAATAAAATTGGTTAAAAAATATATTTTAAAAAATGAATTTAAGTTCTTTTACGGTGTATTAAAGAGTTTGTGAATAAATTTCACACTTAAGGCGCCTTTTTTGCGCCGTAAATAAATTCCCACCAAAATAGCCGGACAAAAAAGGAAAAAGCCCACCAAAATACTTTCCAACGAAAAAAATTTCACTCCCCCGCCAAAGTTCCAAAGTAGATAGGCGGAAAGAAAAAGAAAAAAAAAAAGAAAAAACCCATTTCAGAGTTTTTCTTCCCTAGAGAAGCTTCAACGAGAGTGTGGAAAGAGAGAGACCCGAATCTCTCATCTATTGATTTCTTTGGACGAACCGTGTTGATGGCAGTAATTTGAGGAAAGAAAGCTTGATTTCCTAAACTCATCTTTCTCAGATTTGACTCCGGACGATGTCGATCATTCCGTTAGCGACCAGCGAAGAGGTTAGGGTTTTCAACCAGCGACCAAAAATTGAAGTTGAATCGAGCCACCATGGACGACGGTACGTACCTTGTTACAGTTGCCTCTCATCCTTTCCATTATCAGTCTAATCTTTTTCACAAAATTTCCTCTATATCTATACATTTTTATGCACATATGTTTGTATATATGTGTGTGTGTGTTTGTGTGTGTCTGTGAACTGATTCTTGATTTGATCTATTTGAGCGAGCTATTTGTTTATACCACCTGGAGAAGAAAATGTTTATTCCTACCAAAACCCCCCCTTACGCACATAGGAAACCTTGAAAAAACAAAAACAAAAACCAATCCCCCTAATTTTTCTTCAGTCCTTTCGCAAAGAGAAGCCCTAGAACATGATACGCCGACCGCCACAGTCCTTGATTCCACTGACCACAACCTTCATTCACCTTGATTTGTATACTTGTCGTATTTCTACCCTCGTTCAAGACTTTCAAGCGTTGCCTCATTCTACTTCTCTCTCGAGTACTCTTCTTTTCTCTTTTCTCTCTCAAAATACTGCGGTTTCAGTTTGGACAGAGAATCAGAGAGATCTGGGGCATATTTTAGAACGCTATCTTTCTCTCGGTGGGATTTTGAGATCGCCTCTCTAGCACCCCTATCCATACTACAACAACGTTCACAACCGCCACCAGGTCAAAACCTAAATTTCCATTATTTTTTTATATTTGTATACAATTTGTTGAATTTCCTGTCCTATGAGATGATTTCAATTTAACTGATAATGGAATAAATTTTCCCATAACACTAATTGTATTGCGTATTTATGAAGAATTTTTTTTTTTTTTTGCCTACATTTATATAATTCTATGTAATAGATATGCTTGTTTTTTGGAGTTTGATTGTTCAGAGTTGGGTTGGGGATGTGATGACTTGGAATAACAATTATTTCATCTTATTTAATTTTCATGTTTCATTTCTTTGTTTCTTATGATGGTATGTAGGTAGATGCCAAAGGTTTTCACATTAATTACATTTTTTGTACTCTGTTTGGGAGTTTTTTTTTCATTTCTCAGTCTTTTCTTCTTAATATTAGAATCATATCAATAAATGAAATTTCTGTATAACATAAATTCAAAAAAAAAAGAAGACAGAAAAATTTAATCAATGATCTAATGATATCATTAAAAATATATTTTGCTATCCTTTTTGTTCTTGTTCTTCCCTTTATTGAAATTTAGTGTTGTCCCATTTCAAATTTCTGATTTTCATTATTTATTTTCTGAGTTTGCAAGCAGTTTTGGATCTGCTCCTAAAATGCTCAATTCCAATTGGTTGCTAAAGATATTTGTTGTTTATTACTTAGTAAAACTTAAAAATTAAAAGATATTCTTTGTGTATTCAACTTAGATGGACACATGTTCTATCTAATAGCCTTCTCTAATGTGTTATGTATTGTCAAAAGTATCAAATAGAACTATAGAAGATTGAGAGTATCCAACTAGGTAGAAAATGGTACCAACATTCAAAAAAAAAAAAAAAAAAAAAAAACGAAGAAGAAGAAGAAGACGGGTTTCAAACCCTACTGGCATGGGCAAAATTAAAACAAACATTCATCAAAGTCCCTAATGTATGTGAGTTGTGATAATTGACATGCTCTCTTTACCTTCCCAGAGAGTTGATATTACAAGTACTGCATGAATATTATACAACATATAAGAATTTCTCTCTCTAAAACATATTCAGCAATGCAGTTCATTAGCAATCAGAAATTCTGATTAGGACTTGCTATTTTATTTCCAACATATCCCTAAATTTATTATGGATAATGACCATAAAGATTTAGGACCAACACTGGACCATATAGACATATAAACATGGAAAGAAGCTTAACAGTGAGCGGTGCGAAAACAATCCATGTTGTGGAGGTTCATGAATTTTCCCATCTGCTCTAAAAACTTAGAGATTTTAAAAATAAATACATATACAATAAATAACGCATTTTAGGTTCCACCTGCATACACTGCATTTATTACCACCTGCTCTGATCTCCCACCTGCATACATTGTATTTACTACCCAATTCTCAATTATTTAGAAGTTCAACACTTAATATCCAACTTAACTGATCTTGAAGATCAACATTTTGTGGTAGATTTTGAATTTCATGAGTTAGTTTCATTTGTATTCTTGAAAGTGAAAGAAGAATGATAGATGTTGTCCCATATTTCCATATTGATTGTATTTATGGGCATTTCTTTTTTTAAAAATTCCTGCCTGCTAAGTTTGAATATTTAGCTAAGAATGAAACTTATTTGAGTAATTAATATTAGTTTTGGTGGTGGTATGGGTTGCTACTTTTCATATAGTTGGTTGATTCGTACTTATTTGAGGAACTAAGATTTTAATGAGATAGAGAGCTTTTCTTGGCTATTATATTAAGCCTTGCTGGGGATTTTATTTTATTAATTAGATTAAAGAGATTTATTATTTATACATGTCTAAATATTGCTTTGTTTGAGTGTATATATTTACATTTGGAATAATATTTTTTGTAAATTACATAGGTGCCGGGCTGACTTCACACATGGAGATGCTTTAACTAAGTTTTGGTGGTTCATGGATGATGTTTTCAACAATGGTGTATAGATTATAGTTAATACATTAGTTAAATGAACATTGGTGTACTAGACAAGTCTTTTTACATACTGAATGGTTATTTATGGTGCACATGAGTTTTGCCCTTTAAATGTTTGTTTAATTTTGTGTTTTGGTTTTGGTTAATGATGTTTGTTATTTGTTCTTAGATGTGACTAATTTTTTTGAGGTATATTTCCTACATTTGTTATGGTGGAGTGATGATACTTGAAAATTAGATGTTATTTTGAGTTGGCGGCAACTAATATTTAGTTGGAATGTGGAATTTGAGTTGAATATTTATAATGAATGATATATTTTATTCATTTATTTGGAATGGTTATGATAAAATATTCAGTTTCTTAAGTCCTAAGAAGAATAAATAGTGAAGCCTTCACTATATATGACAATGATAAAAGTGTTTTCATAATCCCATTCTCACACACATCTCTAAAAGCAAATTATATAAATTGTAGATTTATAGATGGGAATGATTCACTAAGAAGTCTGCTTATCAATGTTAAAGATATGTTTTGACTTGGGTCTTGAATTATTAAAGAACTATTAAAAATCAAAAACATATGTTCTCAACGTATTGATACATTGAAGTAGTGTTGGAGACCTATAAAAACGTTTTAGTATCAACCATACACTATGGAAATGGCTCATTTGCAAAAGCTTTTGTTCTTCATAGGTCACATAGATTTGAGTCTTCCAATCGAAAATGGGAAGAAACAACTGTGTTTATTATTATTAATTGTTTTTTTCAAAGATTTGTCACATTTCCTGTGTGTTTAGTTGAGTGTTAGCATGTCAAACTTGAACTAAAACAATTCCAGTTAGAGGTATTGGCCAGTGCTTAGAACTGCTGCTGCTGCTGATAATACCACCACTATTAATAATAGTTCATTATATTGAATGCTTGGGCTGGCATTATATTATTGTTCTATTTATTTATTATTATTATTTTTTAAGTGGCAACATGTATCTTAGTAATTCTGCATCTTAATTATTCTAATATGTTGAGAAATTTGGCATTCATTTTTTCCTGCTCGGTCTTTCCAATTAATGTTGGAATAAAACTGAAATTTTGAAATGGTTTTGTAGGATGTGATTGATAGAGATTTGTGTGAGCAGTTCCTTACATTGTTGCTGGATCTGCAACGAAAAATTGCAGATGAATTAGACATAACTCCAACAAAGATTTTGAAGAAACTTGAAGAAGTTCGGAATAAGACCATTTGAGAATTATTAGTCCTAAGGTACATTAATCCTCTACTCACCAACTTAGACATGTCTTTTTAGCATGGATATGTATTTTTATATTGTGAATGTAATTTTTATGTTTATGTTATACTACGCAAAAAACTGGTGGTAATAGTTTACAATCGGTTGTGTATTTGTTTTTTCTTGATATGTCTTTCTTGTTATGTGGTTTTTTTTTTATCTATAATAGCTATCAAATCTGTTCTATAGAAAATTGCACCAGGGTGGACACAACGTGAATGGAACAAGGTGCATCTTTTGGAGTATGGGTCTGACTACTCGACATGCTAGAGGAAGCCAACAAAAATGAATAAGAAAAAATAAATGATAGGAAGTTGAATGAGAAGGGACATAACAGAGAACATAATACCATTATATAGATGTTGTAGCATTATATAGATGTTGAAGGAATTGTAGAATTAGAGATGGGAATGATTCACTAAAACTTACTAAAAAAGTTTCATTTGTAGAAATCAAAAATAGAAAAAAGTATTTCTAAGAAAAATGGGAAGGTAGAGAAAAGGTCAATAATTATGTCAGACCATTGTAAAATAAAAATGTAACCAATAGATGAGGTTAATTAGAGTATATATGAATTTAGAAGAACAATATTTCTGAAAGCTAGTTAATTGGAAAAATAACCATTTGCAGTTTAATTTTGTTAGGGCGGAAGAAAGATAATAATTGTACTATTATTTTTATCGATATATATATATATATATATATATATATATATATTATTTTCTTTACATCCTTTGCGGGGGGGAAAAAAAAAATTGCATTATAAAGGGCATCTAGAGCACATCCAAACCTTGCCCTTCTTTAGAGAAGACAAAGGAAGAACGCTAGTAGGGAGGGAGTGAGTGATACACAACAGTGAAAGGATTGCTAGTTGTCTTAGATTACTACCCCGGTTCAACATATGACTGCTCCATCTTTTCTTGCTTTCCGTACCCTCTTCAAATAACATGCCGTTAAGAAAGCAGCTCGCTCTTTCTACACACCAACCTCAATACAAGCTGCCGCCACTCCATGGTCTCATCTATAAGTATGATGGGAAGCTGAGATTATGAGGGTAGAGTGAAAATACAATAAACTTAGCTTGGCAACAACGACATTAAGCAACTCTCTGAAAATAGGTGGAGCTGCAGTTGTCTTTGCCCCCATCCTGAAATTTTCCTTTGGGAGAATATAAATGGAAATTCCACAATCTTGAGGCCGATTTTGTTAGTTAAATTGAATCTTTCGTGTTAATTTTTGTACTAAAAATTCCAACTCTTTTCTTAAATTAGTCATACGATCTAATTTTTTATGTATTTGTTGGCATTACATTTTTGAAATATTTTTTCCTGACAAGATTGATTATCACCAATTCATTAGGAGCAGAAGAATCAGAATTTCTATGATTCAAGTCTACAACAAAGGTCAAATACTAAGCTTCTTTTATGATTGCACAATTTTAATGCTTTTTATACTCATATTTAGGGGGGTCACGTGCCTTTAAGTTGTTGATATGTTGTTTATAAAATGAAACAAGATTTTGAAAAGAAATTCCGTCCGTCCCTAATTGTTGCGTGCCAAAAGAGCTTTAGGGACGGTAAAATATGACCGTGACTAAAAAACTCGACTTTTAGGGACAGTATTTACTGTCCCAAATAACACCATCCCTAATAAATTTTAGGGACGGTAGAGACTGTCCCTAATACTCTATATATTAAGGACAGTTTTTATGAACGTTCCTGATGCATATAATTTTGAGGACAACATGTACCATCCCTAATACACTAATTTTATTTATTTATTTATTTATATTATTTTTTGGACCACATGCACCATGTTCTTTCTTTTGTATCAACATCATCACCATGTTCTCTTTTTAAAAACTTCGAAAAAAAAAAAATCATCATATACAAAACAATAAAATAAGCTTTAAACCAAATCTAACAATAGCCATCAAACCAAAAATAAATCCACCACATCGGTCTCTGGAAAAGTATAAAGCGATACAAGTATATACATGTATGTGTGTAGAGAGAGAAAGAGGGGCCTTCATGGAAAAGTAGGAGAACTCACAATTGTTGGAGATGATAATCAGAAACCTTAAGCCGAAGAAGATCGAATGGTCGATGCGGTCAAAGAAGAACTCACCATCAATGAATGTAGGGAATAATTTTAAGAAGTATATCTGATTCTTGAGAATCAATCCCAGTAAAATAATTTCAAACATTCAATATATTAAAAATATAAGATATGTTGTGTCTATGCAAGAACAAACTAGTTAGCTAGGATGAGGAGACGATCAAAAAGTTAAAATAAGGTGTATTACATTGTAACATTTATTGAGTTCTCTGTGTTTTTTTTTTTTTTTTTTCTCTAATTATTATTATTATTTTTTTGGGTACAACTTCTGAGAGGACCCGATCCTATGATAAAGACTATAACTCAGCGGGGCAAACCCAAAGCCCAATTGAAAAAAATTGGGGTTTTGGCAGTGTTATTTGGAATTTGGTCTAGGCTTGGATTCATCCATGTTTTGCAACCCAAAATCCAACCCAAACCTGTCTTGAATTAGCTAACATTTTTTTTTTCAAGGTAGAAGTGTTAGATGAATTAGAAAGTTAAGCTAGATTCTATTATTTTCCTACATTAATGCATATTCCTACATACATGGTTGAGGGTGGTGAATTTATTTTTTACCTTCATTTGCTTTGTGATTTGTGGTCAAGAGATCAAGTTGGAATTTCTCCACCTGGTTTAAGAACTCTCTAGACTCTGTCATGCAGAATCTAATCCATTGGAAATTTTCCAACCTTGTTTTGAGATTTTTGAAAGGTTTTAAAGTGCAATTGGTTGAAATTAATCGGTTGCACATGTCATGTTGTAGAGACATATTATTTTTGGATATATTTTATATTCTTTTTCAAATAAAATTAGTTGAGGTGTCCAATACAATTTTGACAATACTTTTTTACTTTGACTTGAACGACGAGAGAGTATTAAATATCTAGGGACCGGGGTTATTCCAACCCTTAAATGTTAGTTTGCAATAATTCAATGAATATAGACTGATAATACGAATTTTTAATGGCCTGTTGCATGAATTATATATGGATTAATTGTTGTAGCCTTTTTCCTATCTAAACCCAGTTAACTACACACCCTTGGCATTAATATCACATACAACGAAAACTAGACAAATCTTTCAAATTAAGTGCAGTCCTTGTCATTTATCCCCTGATCTTGTTGTAATTGGAGTGTATGAATAAATCATAGAATTAACATCAGCATAGTATATAAACAATTAAGCATAAATTCTTGATGAGAGTTCCTGAATCAATACGAATCATTAAAAAAAAAAAAATTCATAGACATTATCCATCAATTAGATACAGAGGTTCTTGCTAATCCAATATCCAAAGCAGAGAGTATTTATGAATTTTATGTTTTAATCCTATAAAAAAAAAAATACGGCAAAAAAGCAAATATACAGATCTGAGAAGCACCGGGAAAAAAATTGAAATATATAAAAATGTTTGTGTTTGATTCATAAATGATAATTTTGTTATTTCCTTTTTTTATTAGCATTCTGAATTTGAGACTTGTGTGATGCAGTTACTTTCTTGGATTTTGTACCGTGGATTTTGCAGCTATTTCCTTGGATTTTGTACAGTGAGGTGGTTTTTTGACAAGTGCAGATTGAAACTCAAGTGCTAGAAGGTTTGTCAATTTTTCAATAGAAGTGTTAAGAAATTGATGATTTTCTTGACAAATGGATGAACTTTCTGTTTTAGAACATTGATAAATGATGAATTGTAAAAATGTTTTAACTCTTTTGATATATTTAATGGGATATGTATGTTTTTTGAATTGAATTGAATTATAACTGAAAGTGATGTGAATTATAGGCAGTGGATGATTAACTGGAATTAATTAAGGGTGCATTATTTATAAAGTATATATATATATATATATATATATATATATATATATTTTATTTACGGGGAGCTTGAAATACCGTAAATAAGTGAAAATTCTCCTTAAATAACTTTTCTACGGCATACATGGCAAGTCATGAGAATGGTTTATATTATTTACGGGTACCTAAAATTTGCCATAGAAAAGTTTTCTACGGCATGGTTCAATGCCTTGTGAGATTATTTACGAATAGTTAAAATTCGCCTAAGAAAACTTTTTTACGGCATGCTTCTGTACCTCGTCAGATTATTTATGGGTAGTTACAACTTGCCGTAGAAAACTTTTTTATGGCATCTGTCGGTACCTCGTGAGATTATTTACGGGTAGTTACACTTCGCCGTAAAAAACTTTTCTACGACAGGCGATGGTGTCTTGTGAATTTTTTACGGGTAGTTACAATTCGCCGTAGAAACCTTTTCTACGGCATGCCTCGGCACCTCGTAAGTTAATTAAATATAATTTAATATATATAAACGAAATTATTTTCTACGGCGAATCTATTGTTTTTCTACGAGGTAGATTTTTTTCCGTAAAAAAAGTTAGAGTATTTATGGAACCCTCATACACGAGTGCCTAGAATGCGTCGTGAATAAGTTTTTATGGCGTTTTTGGCCCCTCGTAGAAGCCCTTTTTTCTTGTAGTGTGTGCACAAATGTGTACCACTTAAAAATACCAATAATAACAATAGCACATGCATCATTGCAGATTAATGCTAGAGTAGGGGGTTGTTGAACCACAAGGATTGCTAGTTTATGGCAAACAGAATTATAAAATTACTTTCTCTATTTGATAAAAGATATGATAAATCGATTGGTTTGTCACTTAACCGAATTTAACTTTTAGAAAATAGTAAATAATGTAAAAAGAATGGATTGAACTTATTACGAAAAAGGCAAGGGAATTGACTTCACCTCAACCTCATAAACATGTAAAACTTGCACTCAACTTGGGGATTGACAATTATATATATATAAAATGATGTGTAGGAGTATAAAACTACCACAACATTGTCAAGAAGATCATACATTCAGGACTAAGCATAACCCATCTTTGGTTAGCATGGTTCATCCACCTAAACTAGATTATGGTGTGAACCATCTTCCCTAGGCATGGCCTATCAAGGTCCTTCAATAGTATGTTGCAGCACATGAAATCAATTAAATGTCATAGACTATCTTCAGTTGGTCTGGACCATCTACCTAACTACATTAATCTAAGGGTGTAGTATGGTCTATCTTTGTTAGGTATAACCTATATAAATGCTTAATTTCATGCCAATATAACCATTCCATAAATTCTTTCCCATTGTCACTATAGGAAATCAAGTGTAATACTTGTATCAATATGATTTCTAAGACAAGATAACAAAATCAACACAAATATATATTCATAGGATAAATACATGCATCAATTTACTGTAAAGAACATCAAGTCAATGTAAATACTTCTAATTTATGAAACTAATATATATAGTAAAAAATCCCCAAATTGAAATACAAATTAAACCATGTTTACTTGGTCTTGATTACATCAACTCCCTAGAAAAGGGATTTAGCCTCTCTTGAATATGGCTATACCCTCCAGGATTGAAGAAGAGAATAGAATTCCCTCTCTCACCATCTTTGCAAGCCTCCTCCAAGAACCCTCCAAATCCTCTCTCCCCCCTCTATCTTTTCTTCCAAAACAAACTTAATAGACTACTTCAGCCCTTTTCCCCTCTTTATCCTCCCGTGAGTTCAAAATACAAAATTCCTCATTTAAAATTCTAAAATACATCTCAAGATAGACAAAAATGAACTTAAATAAAATGGGGGCCTGTGGTCTGGCGTCCGGATGCGAAGACTGGCGTACAGACGTGAGGCCCTGATGGTTTGGGGTCCAGACGCGAGCTTCTGGAGGATGGCGTTCGGACGCGAATTCTTGCGTCCGAACGTTAGGCATACTACTCTGACACGGACTTCTCTCTTTAGCTCTGGTTACATTCTTCGCCTTTTCTTGTTATTTCTCTTTAATGATCACTTGAAATGTAGGCCTGATATAACTGGTGCTTCAAAACCCTTTAAAACTTTATTCTTATTCCTTTTTAGCAATAAGACCTACAAAAACACAAAACTATAAAAATGTAGTTAATCTATATAAACAGATCAAATAATAGGCTTAACTAATGCAATTAAGGGTGCTTAAATATGAAATATTTGATGCTTATTAGACCCCAAACTTACATTTTGCTAGTCCCTTAACAAAACAAAATTGAAACACAAACTTCTTCTCTTTCGTGGAAGTGACGATTGCATTTAGCATATGCAACAAGCTTTTTAAACCCCTAAGTATCCTTAGAGGACGAGTGAAGTCTCGTGGTTTATCAAAAATGATACCCACAAACACTAAGCAACAAGGCTCATTCTAGTGTACATTGAAACATATGACTTTTAGGAAAAACTCTATCAAGAAGATTACAACAAGTATACATACAATGACATCTCAAAACACTATTCAATTCCCAGCCCTCATGTATCAACAGACTAGTCCACATACATGATCTTCAACATCTCATTTATAATAGAATTTCATCTCAAGATCCTTAGAAGTGAACCGAAATTTCATTTTCTTTAAGAATGCACTTTTAACCCTTTTATGGCTCATTCAACATTTTTCCATCCTTAATCTATCTTTCGAAATCATAATCTAAGGCATACATTTATTTGAACACATTTTATTTATTTATTTATTTATTTTTATTTTTTTATGTATGACCATGTGCAATGTCTAAGTTCCTTAAGCTCTCTAACCACCCCATGTAAGAAGTGTTGAGCCAACGACTCCCAAACCAGATGGTTTTAGGGTGTTAAATGTAAAGACACTCCTAAGGGCGTAATGACTCGAAATGGCTAGGCTACAAACTCAAACTAATCATACATCTTACATTCTGATAAGCGCCGAATATTACATATTCAAGCGTCCTTATTTGTATTAGTTAAGTACACAAGTTGATTATATTGTATATATTAGCTTTATTTTCATTCTTTTGTCTATTTTCAGGTTGGTTCTCCAAAGAGAGTTAAAAGTGATACTTTGATAAGTTTTTAAAGATCAAAGTACGCCGTTACTGGGGACAGTCATTTTGGCCAAGTCAAGTGATCCATGGAATTCATGACGCTCTATGCACAAAGTTTTAGGATGAAGAGTTGCAACATCAGTCCGCGCCAAGAGAGGGTCAAGAGCAAAAATTCAGAGCAAAAAGCCCAGATCTCGAGGGTGTCCGCCCATTTGGGCAGTGAGTCCGCGGGCGCCCGCCCATTTGGGCAGTGAGCCCGTGCACCATGGGCTCCTGCCCAAGATCCGCGGGCGCCCGCCCAATCTGCCAGTGACCTCTTCCACCGCGGGGGCCAGCCCAAGATCCACGGGCGCTTGCCCAAGAGCCGCGGGCACCAGCCCTGTGCCTGCGGGCGCCCGCCAATCTGCAGATAGCAGATCAACCACTCCATAGATTTGCTGAAAGTTGTCCCCTTTGACCCCATTGTGTGGTTCTGCTTCTAGGGATTTTGGACCACAAAATTGGAGTGGTTAGGAGGCTAAGGTTGATTTATTAAAGGCTCGGGGGGCTTTGTAAAGGGCACACACAATTTGTAAGGTTCTAGAGAGAGCAGGAGGTGTTCTTGACCCTTAAGGTGCGAAAATGGAAGACCTCATCCTCTCTTCTCCTTCCTCCATTGCTCTTATGGGTAACTAACTCCCTTTTTAGGGAGGTGATGAAGCCCTTCTATGTAAGCATACTCTAGCTTTGATTTTATTTTGGGGAATCATTTATATTTGTGGTGGTTTTATAATCTAGAGCACTCATATTGATGTAACGAACCTAAATTTATATAAATGATCATGTTGAATCTATTATATTGTCTTAGATTGTATGTTATCATGGTTATATGGCTTATATTTTCATGGTGACAATGAAAATGAGATTGTAGAATGGTTTTAATGGCATGGTGTGTGAGAAGCTTGATAGTCCATGGCTTAGGTCCTTCCTTTGATGGTCTATTCTTGAATTTTTAACTTCACGTGCTTGTATCATTTCATTGAGGGCTTGATAATCTCTAACTTAGTGAGCATGTCTAAGGCTACACCTTAGTTTAGGTAGTTCAAACATGTGAAGCTTTGATAGGTTATTCTTGCCTTTTGATTTAATTAACTTCTTGAAGATAATGTAGCAACCATGTGTTGCTACATATCATAACCACTTATATATGTTGTTTCCCTAAGATTAATCATAATCTAGTATACTTATAAGGTTGGTAGTGGATTCACTTCCCTAGTCCTCTCTACCTATATTTCTTTCCTCTTAATTTCCTTGCAATTATTGTTTTATGCACAATTTAATTCCAAGTATCAAGTGACAAACTAAACAAAACTCTATACCCCTTTCATCAAACTAAAAGTGAATTTAAAAACCTTGATTGCCATAAACTAGTAATCCCAGTGGTTCGACTTGCCCATCCAAAAGCCCTATTTTACAATGATTTGTGCTATTGCAAAGGGTTGATTATTATTGATAGTCGACGAGACCCGATCAATTTTTGGCGCCGTTGCCAGGGATTGCAAACGGTTTTGTAACCGAGGTTTTAGGATTAACTTTGGTTTGATTGTGAATATTATGTTATTGTGGATATTTTCTTGTTGGTCTTGATTAATTTATGTTTTAAGCATTCTTGTGAGATTCTAGGTACTCAAGGCTTGCCAAGGAAAAATTGAAAATATTATAAGTCTAGAGGACTTCAGGTAAGTTTTTGAAATTCTAGAATCACAATTGTGAATATCTTGCATGTGGTTAAATTAGAGACAGTTAAATTGTGAAGCCCTTGTCGAGGCTATTTATTATTTCTCTATATTGCAAAGC